TCTCTCTCATCACTGATGTTTCTATCTCTCTCCCTTCCTTTTATTGAAATAAATAAAAAAATATATTTTAAAAAAACTAGGTTTCAATTTCTCCTATCACTGACATTTTTTTCTTTGTGACTTTTCATTTTTTAAAGGATGTCCTAGCTAAAACTTTTAAAAGACTACAGAGCAAATCAAATTATTTGTCATTACAGCTAACATCCACACTAGGAACTACTCTAAACTGAACACTCTTTATGTGCTTTTAGCTGATATCAGCTTTAAGCAGAATCTGAATCTCCATCCAAATCAAATCAAAGTCTAGTCATATCAAAAGCATCATGGCGGGGGGGGGGCGGGGGGGGGTAAGATCCTCTTCATTTGACAGACTCTAATGCTCTAATTTATACTTCAAAAAAACAAAATTCAACCAAAAACACATTACTTACAACAAATGAGAAAATGCTAGCCTATGAGGTGCTTATGAAAATGATGTCATTTTGTGTCTTATTCTGAAAATTAGGTTTACATTGTTTTTATATAGCTTCAGTGAAAATGACCTGACTTTTAAAAATTAACTGTAAGCCCTGGCCAAATAGTTCAACTGGTTAGAGCATCGGCCCGACACACCAAGGTTGCAGGTTCCATCCCTGGTCAGGGCACATACAAGAAGCAACCAATGAATGCATAAATAAGTGGAACAACAAAGCAATATTTCTCTCTCTCTCTCCCTTCGAGTATCTCTCTCTCTCTCTCGCTCTCAAATCTATAAATATTTTTTAAATAAACCACTATATTACAATAGTAAAGCTCCAGACTAAACAGAAAATGAATACTAAATATCAAAGGTATGATCTTCCATTTACCAAACCAGTGATAGTATATGTAATGAGCAAAGACTAAATTATGACTGCCTATGTGTTATTCCTGGTTCCACCACTTTCTAGCTTCGTGATCCTGAGCAATAAAGTCCACTCCCCTGTGCCTCAGTTTCCTCACCTTAAAAATGAGAATAGCAAGAGAATTTTCATGTGGTTGTTGTGAGAATGAAATGAGATAATATGAAGCTAAATTTAGAACAGTGTCTGGCATATAAAAGAACTCAATTAAAGATGGCTATTATTATCAAACTCAAGAATAAGAAAAATGTACTTGGCAATGATAAAATCAACTAGGGACATATTGAATGCCAATTATATATCCACTGCTGTGCCAGGAACTGTAGCTAACTGAAGAGAAACGTACAATGTATGGTCTCTCTATTCCCATAAAACTAACAGTGATCTCTCTAGTTGGAATGACAAGGTCAAAAAGCATAAATTAATTAAAGAATTCAGAATATAAGCAAGCGTGAAACTGTGAAAACAAATTGCCTGCAAATTCAAAGAAAAATAAAAGATAGCTAACATTTCCTAAACACTATGTTGCAGGTACTGTTTTAAACGCATGAGATTTAATCCTCATAGCCTTATGAAGTAGATATTATTATTAACTCCATTTAATAAATGAGAAAATTGAGAAAAAGAGGGGTAAAGTAACATATTACATAGCTTATAAGAAGCAGATCTAGGATTCAAATACAGGTGGCCTGACTCCTGAGCCTGCTCATCTAACTAATAAACTATAGTTGGGCAGGGAACTAAACCAAAAATACTACCATTTACTGAATGACTACTATGTGCCAGACACTATACTAAGCACTTTCAAACATCCCATTTTAACAATACTATTCATTTTTAAAATGGATAACAGATAAAAAGGGGAAGTAACCTGTTCAAGGTTAACAGTACACAGAGGAGCAGAGACTCAGTCACAGACCTACTGACCCTAAAGCTCATGCTTTCTGATTTCACTGTCAAAAGCAAAGGAAGGCTTAGTTAACAAGTGGCAGTAGTTAAGTACCACTAGCTATCCAATGTGTATAATTTGGGTAGCTAGTGAGGTAGGAAAAGATATTAAAGAAAGAAGAATAGAATGAGCAAAAGCTAGTGATTAGGTATGTTAAGAAGGAAAGCCTGACTACAGCAAAGGGTGTAGAGAAGAAGACAATATGGCTAATTTGGGTTAAGATGATAGAGAGGGTAAAAGCAAGGAGGAATGTTAAGATCTGATGCAGGAAAAATTCAGAGCCACTCAGGCGCTTGAGAAGGTGAGTGGTATAATGAAAACAGGATTTTAGATATGCTGCAGATAGCATTATCAGGATGCGCCTGAATGAGAACAGAGACACTGAGAGAATGCCGTTGGAATACACATGCTGAGATCATGAAAACTTGAGAGGGTGGCAATAAAATAAAAAGCAAAGGGCAAATATTAAAATAACTTTGAAAGAAAAACCTACAGAGTTCCATGATAATCAGTTTTAAGAGTTCAACTGTTTTTTATTTTTTGTAGACAAAATAATATCAATAAATATCAATATTTATTGATAATATCAAAATAATATCAATAAATTAGCAATAAACTAGTTATCTATTCTTCAATATCAATAAATTAGTTACCTATTCTTCATAACTTAGAGGCTATTATTATTTTTCCTATATTTGCCTCAGCAATACCTGCTCAGACCCGTCATTCCACAACAGGAAGAACCAAGTATTTTTCTTCTGTACCCCACACATACTAACAACCCTCTGTACCGAGCAGTCAACCTTAGCTGTGCCTACAACAACCCACACAGCGGCCTCACAGTGACCTGCTGTATTTCAGGGTTGTTATAATATTAATATAATGCATGTAAAGAATGTTTCATACTGCCTGGCACCCAGTATATACCTAAATGTTAGTTAGTAATGTTATTAATGGTTGACTCCGATGTCCCTTGGGCCCAATTCCCAATCAACAGTTAAACCTTATCAATTCCATCACCAAAGAAACCTCTCCTATCCTTTCCTTCCTTTTTACTGTCACAGCCCCTAATGGTGTCTCTGAACCCAGTGTCTCCCTTCCAATTCAATTTACACATTCCTAAAGAATTAAATCCAACTCCCCCTAGTTCAGCACTTCAAGCCCTTCCTGTTTGGACCCCAACTTACCTTTCCAAACCTATTTTCCACTACTTTCTGAAGTCCATCACTCTAGCCAAACCAAATCACTTTACTTTTTTCTATATACAACTCATGCTGTCCCACTACCACGACTTTCTCATTTTATTCTTTCCTGGGATGCTCTTCCGCTCTTTACTGTCAAAAGTTCAAATCCGCCCTGACCGGCTTGACTCAGTGGATAGATAGAGCATCGGCCTGCGGACTCAGGGGTCCCGGGTTCGATTCCGGTCAAGGGCATGTAACTTGGTTGCGGGCATATACCCAGTGGGGAGTGTGCAGGAGGCAGCTGATCGATGTTTCTCTCTCATCGGTGTTTCTAACTCTCTATCCCTCTCCCTTCCACTCTGTAAAGAATCAATAAAATATATTTTTTAAAAAAGAAAAAGTTCAAATCCTTTCCATCACCTTTCCAGACCTAGCTCAAATGCCATAATGCCTTCCTACACCATTCCCAACTGAAAAAGATCTCTCTCCCCCTGGAATACCTACATAATGTTATTTATACCTCTTCTAAAATTGTGATCCCTTTCAACCTTATATTTCAGTTATGTGCTCCATAGAAACCCTTTTGAAAGGATCCATGCCAGTTCCTATAGTATTTAACACATATCCTCATGCTCAAATGTAGAATGATTTCACAGACATTAAAATGAGATTTCGCCCCAACAGAAAACTTTCATCGTTGAACCAGAATTTTCTGATCTAACCTGTATTACAGCTCCCTCACGAAGAGAAATTGCAACACAAAGTACTGTATTTCCTAGCCAGTGGTCATGTTAATTTTTTTTTAATGCCTGGATTAAACAGGCCACTTACTCTTCTTTCCATTTTCAAATCACCCGGTCTCAATCCCTTCCCATCAAAAACTTCCCACTTCTCAAATTGTACATTGTGTATTTAAATTTAAAAGCAAAGTGATAGACTGTTCTTTAATACCGAAAATAATTGTAACTCAGGACCAACTAGTTCTGCCTAATACAGTACAGCCAAGCTCCCAAAAACACAACAAACAACAAGGCTGAGGATCACCATTTTCCAAGTAAAGTTGCTGCTGATGACCTATTGATAAAGCTCTGAGCTGATTTCCAGGCACAAGAAATGGCCAGTATTTGACTCATTCAGATAGTCTCCCTCAGACCCTACTTGTGGGGACGTTGTTTTAAGACGAACAAAGACATTCTGAAATCCACCACCGGCTCTACCGTGTCTTACTTATGTGATTGTGGCCAAGTCCCTGAGCTGCTCTATGTATCGGGTTTGTAAACAACTGCCTCTTAGGCTTGAAATACAAATGTATATGCAAACCTTTTGCTACAAAAGGCAGATGTCAACTGAAATGTTTTCGGTGAATTCTCTTCGTTAAAACAGAAGTCATCTTCCTCCTCAAATACAAGTCACTGTATCTGATGTCCAAATTCATTAAAGGAAGAGCTGTTTTAAGTCACCCAAACACAAGCACTCTCCACTTCCCTTAATTGAAAGCTGCTGATTTCCAAGGAGCTGGAACTGAGCAGAATGTAAACTTAAAGTCTAAATCAGTAAACAACAACCGATGCAAACTGATCAAAGAGGAAAGAGAGGTGGGGGGCGGGGCGGGGGCGGGGGCTGGGTGGAGGCGGATGACAGGAAATACTCGGCTGACCACTGCGCCCAGTCACCTCACTCTTGCATCTCCAGGTGACACACACACCCTCCCACCCTGGGGCTGTCAGCCTGCTGTTCTGGCCCCAACACCAGGAGGGCATAACTCTAAGAAGAGACTCGAGCTTCCTTCCAGCTGGGGCTCGGGACCCTTGGGGAGTCCAGGCCTGACAAGGCTGGGGGATGACAGCTCGCCATCGCCAGAGTGGAAAGCCCGACACGGTTTCAGGTGTGGCCTTGGCCGCAGCCGCACCGGCTCCGCGTCCCAGCAGCCTCCCCCAGGCCTGTTCCTGGGATGGCCCCCACCCCCCAGCTCGTCCCCCTGCTCACTGGCTTGGCTGATCCGCTGAATATTGCCGCTGCACGTCTGGATGATGCTGCTGAAGTCCCGAGGCGGGGGCCCCGAGGGCCCCGGGTTCCGGTACATGTCTAAGGGACCGTAGGACATGACGAGGAGCTGAGACCGACTCGCCCTGCACCGCGGTCCCACCGGAAGCAGCCACCAAACCCGACCGCAGGCTGACTGGGAAACCGGGAAGAGAAAGGGCGGGGAAGGGGCTGAGGCTGCGTGCGCACTTACCCCACCCCCACGCAGTGCGCATGCGTCTGCCCCGCCCTGCCCCACAATGCGCCTGCGTGGCTGGGCGAGTGCCCTTGCAGCGGTTCTCAACCTGTGGGTCGGGACCCCTTTGGGGATCCAGCGACCTTTCACAGGGGTCGCCTAAGACCATCGAAAACACATATATAATTACATATTGTTTTTGTGATTGATCACTATGCTTTATGTTCAGTTTGTAACAATGAAAATACATCCTGCATATCAGATATTTACATTTCGATTCATAACAGTAGCAAAATTACAGTTATGAAGTAGCAACAAAAATAATTTTATGGTTGGAGGTCACCACAACATGAAGAACTTAAAGGGTCCCGGCATTAGGAAGGTTGAGAACCAAGAGCCCGGGCCTGGAATGCCTGGCGGGGCGATGACGTCACGTCGTTGGAGCTGGGATTGGAGGAGCTGGGGGTGCGGTGTTGTTTCTCAGCAGAGCACGGTGACAGAAGGCAAGAATTTTCGATTAGCATAAAATTGTGCCAGATGATCTCAGCTCTAACATCCTTTTCTGTTCTATTCTGAGAATTCAGGCCCAAATATGGGAGTATTAGACAACGTTGAAAATCGGATCCTTAACCAGACTCCTGAAATTCCTCATTCTACTTCCATCCTCTATGGCTTTGTTAGTATTTGGAGTACTTTTATGGTTTACAAACCACTTTCATTTCTCCTTCCACCCCTCTTCTAATCAAAACTATAAAATAATATAAGATTTATCGAGCAATACTATGTGTGAATCATCACTGCAATTCAGTTGTTCATAAGCTCTTTCACAGCAAGGGACCATGTTCTAACTATATTTTTACCTTCAGAACAGATAATGTACAACTAATTTTTTTATACAATTAATTTTTTATTTTTTTATATATTTTATTGATTTTTTACAGAGAAGAAGGGAGAGGGATAGAGAGTTAGAAACATCGATGAGAGAGAAACATCGATTAGCTGCCTCCTGCACGCCCCCCACTGGGGATGTGCCCGCAACCAAGGTACATGCCCTTGACCGAAATCGAACCCAGGACCCTTGAGTCCGCAGGCTGACGCTCTATCCACTGAGCCAAACCGGTTCGGCTACAATTAATTTTTTAAATGTTGAAGTAAAGTAACTGAACAAAGTAAGCGTCATTATTTTCCCTTTTACAATTGACAAAATTAAGACCACAGAGGTTAATTTGACTGTAAAACCCAAACACTAAGCTAACTCCATTGTCATCTCACTACTTTCCTAAAACGCATTCTCATATTCCCAAATTCATTCTTCATCTAAATTTCATCCAAATAGCCTCTTCATCTGTATCCCAAACCAGGATTTCTTGGAGAACTAGACCCTCAAAATTTTTAAATCATTTCTTTAAGTAATTTGTAGTGTATGACCTCTTCCCATAGAAGATGGCATTCTATGGACTGAAGGGTCTCAGGTTTGATTCTGGTCAAGGGCACATGCCTGGGTTGTGGGCTCGATCCCCAGTGCGGGGGGGGCGTATGAGAGGCAGCCGATCAATGATTCTCTTTCATCATTAATGTTTCTCTCTCTCCCTCTCTGAATCATCATTATACAGGGTGGGACAAAAGTAGTTTTACAGTTGTTTGTATGGAAAATAATACAATAATAAATAATAAACTTAAAAAAAAAGAAGATGGCATTTTGTGAGCTATGGTAAATGGAAAGACATGGGTAGGATTTGGGATAGGAAGCTCCAGATAGGGAGAAGTGAAGGGGAACTGGTAGTGTTTGTTTCCTGTGTTCACCCCACCCCACCCCAGCCTGCTTTCCAGTCTCTGGGGAATGGTAAGGAGAGGAAGCTCCTTGCTGGAGGGTACCCCAAAGGGGTGAATGCATTCAGCCTTAGAGCTTTTGCAAGCTAGTCTATCTCTATTTTTTAAAATATATTTTTATTGATTTCAGAGAGGAGGGGAGAGAGTGAGAGAGATAAAAACATCAATGATGAGAATCATTGATCGTCTGCCTCCTACACGCTCCCTACTGGAGCTCGAGCTCGCAACCCAGGCATGTGTTCTTGACTGGAATCAAACCCGGAACCCTTCAGTCCACAGGCCAATGCTCTATCCACTAAGCCAAACCGGCTAGGGTTATCTGTATTTTTGTTGGAACATTTATAAGAGCATTTCTTTCTCTATAAAGAGACAAATAACATTTGGGGGCTCTCACTCTGGTTAAAGCCCTACCATTTTCTAGAATCCATGGTTTTATGTCATCTTATAGTAAACTGTACTTTTTTAAAACTATAAAAGAGCCTTTAGAATGTTTTCATTTACATTTTACACTGTAAAGTGAAGTAATAAAGGTATTTTTCTCATAGCAATGGAAGACACTGTGGTTGCTGTTATTGTTTTCTTTCTCCATCTAAAAGTAAAAGTAGGCCCTAGCTGGTTTGGCTCAGTGGATAGAGCATCGGCCTGCAGACGGAAGGGTCTTGGGTTCCATTCCGGTCAAGAGCACATGCCTCAGTTGCAGGCTCAATCCCCGGCCTGGGCCCCGGTTGCAGTGCTTGGAGTGCATGTGGGAGGCAATCAGTCACTGTGTCTGTCTCTTTCACAGACACATCAATGTTTCTCACTGTGTGTCTCTCTCCCTCCCTTCCACTTTCTCTCAAATCAATGGAAAAATATCCCCAGATGAGGCTTAACAAAAAATAAAATAAAAAGTGGTTATTGCCCTGGCTGAATAGCTCAGTTGGTTAGAGGATCGTCCCCATACACCGAGGTTGTAAGTTTGACCCCGAGTCAGGGCACATACAAGAAGCAACCAATGAATTCATAAGTAAGTGGAACAACAAATCAATGTTTCTCTCTCGGCCTCCCTTTCTCTCTTTCTCTTTAAAATCAAATTTTGAAAAAGAAAAGAAAGGATAGCACAGGACACAGATGGATAACCACTTTTTATTTGACTTGATTTTTAGAGAGAATGGAAGAGAAAATTGCTTCTTGTGTGTGCCCTAACCATCTGCAACCTTTTCTTCTCAGTGTGATGCTCTAACCAACTGAGCTCCCTGGCCAAAGCCTTGTGTATTCATTCATAGCAATACATTTTTTTAAAAATATATTTTATTGATTTTTTACAGAGAGAAAGGGAGAGAGATAGAGAGTTAGAAACATCGATCAGCTGCCTCCTGCACATCTCCTACTGGGGATGTGCCCGCAACCCAGGTACATGCCCTTGACTGGAATCGAACCTGAGACCTTTCAGTCCGCAGGCCGACGCTCTATCCACCGAGCCAAACCGGTTTCGGCCATAGCAATACATTTTTACCTTGCAAATACTAGATGTCAAAGGAACATATACCGAATTTATACATGAATAATAAAAAATAATCACAGTTTCTTAAATGCTTTCTCAGGCGATGTGAACAAATTTTACAAACATTTATCAGTAATCCCCAAGATAAAGCCCATGAGATAAAGACCACGTGTGGTCTGACAAAGTTAGGTTTATTAACTGAATGCTGTAAGGGAGACTGCACACCAGAGGAATCTCGGAGCGTCACATCAAGCACAGTAAGAGATAGTCATTCTAGGATTTGGGGGGGAAATGGAGTGTAGGTAAAATTTAAAAGAATTGTCTCAGGATAGCCTCAAAGCATACCAGGCTATTTGTAAAGATATTCTCATCAGGCCTGAGCTGATAAGAGGATTCAGATCTGTTTCCTTGGAAACTGCAAGGTGAAGATAAATAGGGAATGTTGTATCTGGAAACCCCTTATCTGAAGCGTTGCATCCGGGTTGGAAATTGAGGCTGCTTCTCTGTGTCAAAATAACTCAGCTCCTCCAAGCAAGAATGTTCCATTCTGCCTGATATTTCAATTTGCAAGTTTTCTTGAACTCTGTGATTTTAAAGAATAAGTTTCTCAGCGTTATGTCCTTTTGTTAATTGATAAAAACAGTTTTCATGGTTGGCACCCTTCAAGATGAGATTAGCTCCTTGGTTACAGATAAGGAACCTGGTTCTCCCTAGAGGTTCTAGGACGTACTTGCCCAATGTCATACAGCTATTATGCTGCAGAGCTGATTCATACATAGTTTATGGCCCCGCAATTCTACACCTAACTATAAAGTCAACGCATATGTGTTTCAACAGCCAAGTATAGGAATGTTCAAAATAGCAATTTTTAGGATTAAGCAGTACTTTTCTGTATTAACTGTTGTTATAATTGACATACAATAGAATGCACAGATATTAAGTGTTCAGAGAATTTTGACACTTGTCTATACCCATGTTACCGCCACCCAAACCAAGATATAGAAAATTTTCATCATCACCCCAGAAAGTTTTTTTTTTTGCAATAACCCGAATAATTTTATTTTAAACATTTACCAAATTTAAGTTGTGCTAACTTCTGATGCATAGAAGTATGTATCAACATACTATAAGTGTGTGCATACATAAATATATAGATACATAATTCATATACATGGTAATATTTGGACCTTTACCAATTCAATTTCAATTGTGTCAAATAGTTCATCTTTTACAATAATCCTAAAATGTTCAAGAGAACCTTTAATCTATCTGAAGTAAGGAATATAATCCTGGCTAGGACTGGTGTATGGGGGTGGGAGGGTCCTAGTTGCTCCTAACCCGTACAGGGTGCCTTGGCGCAAATCAGAAGGAGCCGCATTGCCTGGGCAGACACCATGCACCAGGCCAGTCTGCTTGGTGAGTGGAGCTCAGCAGGATGTCAGCTCCCATTGGCTGCCTCAGCCAGGTGCCCTTGTTCATGGCACCACCTGCATATAGGTGGCTGGCAGTCCTGGACGGGGCTGCTCAGTGCTGGTGCGAGCAGAGCATGGAGATCTGGCCATCTTCGCGCAGCTTGCTTTTAAAAAAGACTGATTTGTCTGGATGAGTCTGGCCGGGTAGGGGTCCCTTCTTCTTCTCACCACTTCTGATGATTTAGCTGAAGAAGGCCATTCTTCATGTTC